ATTGCAGTAGATTGAAGAGTGCTCAACACAAAAATTTGTAGAGCAATATTTATTTAATCTTATAAATTATACATGTTGCTACTCAGAGTTTCATGCAATTTTGCAATCTTCATGCAGGCAACTCTGAAGATTGCGAAATTGCATGAAACTCTGAGTAGCAACATGTACAATTTTTAAGATTAAATTATATATATATATATATATATATATATATATATATATATATATATATATATATATATATATATATATATATATATATATATATGTAGCGGTTTATGAGTTGTTTTCAGACGAGTGTATACCAAACCGGGCAAGCAGAAAATTCTACTTGACAGCGGCTGGGATTCGAACCCGCGACCTTCGCATTTCTAGAACGATGCTCTAGCTACCTTCTGAGCTACAAGGTCAAGCTGAGAACGACATGTTAAGTTATGATGTTATTCGCATTTCGGAGGTTAGTCCTTCAATGCGTAAAGCCAGCTATTAGTCTGGCAATGTTGTATGTGAATGTTGTGGTTTCCCACGTTGACGATTCCACTCGTGTTACGTTATGTAGCAGTTTATGAGTTGTTTTCAGACGAGTGTATACCAAACCGGGCAAGCAGAAAATTCTACTTGACCGCGGCTGGGATTCGAACCCGCGACCTTCGCATTTCTAGAACGATGCTCTACCTTCTGAGCTACAAGGTCAAGCTGAGAACGACGTGTTAAGTTATGATGTTATTCGCATTTCGGAGGTTAGTCCTTCAATGCGTAAAGCCAGCTATTAGTCTGGCATTGTTGTATGTGAATGTTGTGGTTTCCCGCGTCTTCCCTTGGTGGGCCTGCACACAGGCTAAACACAAATTAAGAGAAAGCTGGTGCGAATTTAATACCTGACGGTACAGGAGTTGGCCGTTTGGTCTTTTTTGCACGTCGTCTTTTCATATGTTCAAAATTAAAAATCTTGAGTGCTAGATGATAAATAGAAAGAGTATACGGTCAATCACAAAATGTTTTTTAATTTGTTTCAAGGTCCGTTTAAACCATTCCACAAACGATGTTGGGTAAAACCTAATCTTAAATAAAGTCAAACTCGATGCATGCAACATCTTCGAACATCATGCAGCCAACATTAATTACCATGCAAACACACCATTTAATTAAAGTGCGATTAACCCCAAATATACTGTAATTGTTTGTATATGTGTAATATTTGGGTCATTCTGAGAAGAAATGTGCTGCACCTTTATAGTAAAAAACCTCATCTTTATAGTAAAAAACCTCATCTTGATCAACTTTTTCACTGTCAAAGTTCCGGATATGATGTCATTCGGTGAATTTGTGGTACAAAAAAACAAAGAAAAACTAATTTTGCAATTTACCTAATGACATCATATCCGGAAACTTTGACAGTGCATGAAAAAGTTGATATATAAATTAAGATATATTACATTTATTCTTCCAATGACCCAAATATTACACATACAAAAAAGTCATATACGACGTCAGTCACACTTTAAACTACAAACCCAACAATTTGGCAGTGTAGAATGATGGCCTAACAACGTTGGACTGGCTTTTGAAATTGACATTTATGACCAACAGGATTTGCCCAAACTTTTCCGCCGTACGGCCATGCATGGCATGACAATGACATGACACAAGCAGATATGCTGAGTTACCTTTCATGTAAAAATCGTACTTGTCCCCCAGCGTGCAGTGTCCTCCCTTTCGCGGCAATCGGAATTTGGTCGACTCGCACAGAGAACACTTGCCCCTGGATGATTTAAATCTAATCATTGTGCAAGTGGGAGCCTTCATACAGCGCTCTTTACAATTCTCCAAGGTTGTTCTCGACCCGATCCGGTTGCACGATGAAGTTTTGCACGTGCCCATGTTGACGAACCAGCCATCTCGCATGGGAAAGGGTTCGCCATCTGGAAGAAACAAAACCGATGGATTGGTTAGCTAATCATCCATTAGGATGTTCTATCATAAAATATATTCAATAATCCATTAGCAGCATGCATCCTTAAGCCAGGCGACCGTCCAGTCGTCCTTCAGATCAGACCTGGTAAATAATGAAATCTCCGAAAATCGTTACTTTAGCAAGACGTTTTGAGGAACTTTTTGCCAGGGTAGGTAGTGGATTGAGGGAGATTTACTAGCTTTCTCTATATTGTATTGAATTATGAGTCCACGAAAAATTGGTTGCCACACCCACTGTCTTTTTTGACCGGCCAGTTTTGATACCCTGGCTAAAAGCTTGATAATAAACCAAAAGTAATTTGGTAAAATAAACAATATGTATATTGATCATGTTTGTGCCTATCGCGTATAATATCTATCTAAAACTCAAGACTTCATAGCATTTATACCAACCTTGGCATGATTTTGTATCATAGTTATAGAAGCCAGATGTGCATTCACAATGGTAACCTCCATTTGTGTTCTTACATTTCGCATTCTTTCCACAATTTCCAGATTGACACTCATTAATGTCTGCAGGGATAAAAAATAATAATCTCAAACTCATTTAATAATTCATGAGTAAATTAGCCAATCATATTGCTTTGTGTTGTTCACATGATAATACTGGATACCTTGTGAAGTATCCAGTCTCCTAGAACAGGATCAAAATTAATTCACTCCTTGGATTGGATCAAAATTAAGTATGAGATGTCACTACAAATTCTCCAATTCGGACTGGACTGGATTTTAAGGCCTCGCCTTTTCGGAATGCACTAGATTTCAATTACAAATCCTCCAATTCAGACTGGACTTTTATATGAGATGTCAATCATTACAAATCCTCCAATTCGGACTGCACTACATTTCAAGTATTTAGCATGGATCAAATTGCGCGAACTTGAAATCTATATAGTCCAGTCCTCATAGTTGGACTTGAAATATTACGTCTCTAGAGTCTAAGCTTTACTAATCGAATTTAAGGAAACAAACCTCAATAGATGATATCTGATGACTCTAGCTAGGCATTAAATTTATCAAAAATCTATTACAATCTTGTAATTAAGAAAGTGAAGAATGATTTCTTCACATTATATATATTGTATTATATCACAATCAATCATAAACAGTTTGTGTTAGTAGCCTGATGTCTTGAAACGATGATGGTGGTGATGACAGGGATGCTGGTAGACTGGTAGTGATAATAATAGTTACGGTGGCGATGATGATGATGGTGAATATGATAGTAATGATAATCATGACAGTAAAAGTGATGGTGTTGATGGTTATAATGCTGATGATGGTGACGACAAAAGTAATATGATAAAATGATGATAAAAATGATGGTGGTTCGATGGCTATATATTGATGACGATGGTAATTGTAGTTGATACAAATAAATACCCTGAGTTCTAGGCGTAGGCCGCTATTTGTACGTTTGAGATATGCTTACCTTGACATACTCTAATAACATCGTCTGCTAGTTCATATCCAGGCTTGCAAGAGCACCGGAAACTTCCAATCGTGTTCGTACAGACGTCTGGTCCACATCTTGGCTTTTCTGATTCAATGCTGCATTCATCAATGTCTGTCAAGAAAATAAATAATCATGCATATAAAAATCTAAGTCAGGAATCATATCAACATTCCCAGATCAGGAATCATTAGTCATAATAATAATAATAATAATAATAAGTGAGGAATCACAATAAGTAATAAATTATCATATAATAATATAAAGTCAAGAATCATGTCAGCAATTGTGAATTGGTCAAGTGTAACTATTGGAGGAAACTAAACAATAACTTTATTTTGTTCTAAATGGATACACTTCAGTAAACTGCTCGCTCTAGAGTTCAACATGCCTTAAGTGTCGTTTACGAATCACTCGTGTAAGAGACATATATTATTGGTTCAGTCTTACTACAAGGGAAAATATAAGAGAATCTGTATTTTTCAGGGTCGAACTGAAAATCCTCTCACAGATGAATGAGACTATATAATCTTCCACGTTTTGGACATTTGTAATATAATCTGCAATAAATAATGTTTGTTGGCCGACTTCGTCCCCTGCTTTTACGAGTGCATTATCGCCACTGACGACTCCGCATACAAATTAATGTTCCAATCCTGGTCTCCGGGATGAAAAAATTCATTTAAAATACAATGCAACTAAATTGACTGACCTTGAACGCCCTCGCAGGGACTGATATTTTCCTGTTTCTTGATATGCTGTCCAGGATAACTGAGATCGTAATCAACATCGTCAATCCTTACCAAGCCAATACAGCCTTTGAATCCAAAGTTTGTGTGGAGATTTTTCACAACACTGAATGTCGAAGGGAAGAAAAATCAAGACAGATATAAAGATCGAGGGCAGTTTAAATTGTCTGTCGGAAAAGTATTTCAAAGTAAACCATATAGTTTTAACTGGATTTGTGTAAATTATCTGCTGGGAAAGATTTTAAACCAAACCATATAGTTTTAACCTAAAATAAACTAACTAAGGTTCATTAATTTGGACTAAATCAGCTCTATAAGCATTAAGCTCTTTCTATAATGCTTTAAAAGCTCTCTCGATCTCTTATTGGTCCAGTGATACCACAGGAGGAAATCTAAACTATACCAACTCTATTTATGTTCATGAATACCACATGCACATTATTTTTTCTGGTAATTACAGTTCTTCTTACTTGGGCGTGGCATCAGAGGCGTTGGCTATTCCACCGATGTGGAAAATATCGTCGACATCAAGAGGTCCAGTGTATTTTGATCGTTGAAATGCAGGTAAGTTTTCATTCAAAATGAAGCCAACTTTGTCCATTGCGAAAATTACATTAATTCCATGCCACGTATCGACAGCAATATGCGAATGGCTTTGCAGTTTCTCCGGACCAAAACCCATGTTGAAACTGTTGACCGAAATAAACTGCTAAGTTAACGCATTCTCGTCAACTATTGTTCTAAATTCAATCGTGCGCGGAAGGAAGAGTTTTGAGAATGGAGACCTTAAGATTAACGTTTACGCCACACCACAAAGGGCAGACCTCAAATTGCTTTTGACCGAGGAAACAATGGTGAAGTGTTGGGATGAAACGAATGGGGGTATTAGATTTTGTTCAAGGGCAGTGGATTCGTACGAGAACGAGGCTTGAGAAGATATCAGGATGGTAATGGTGAGGTGAGGTGATGATGATGATGATGACAATGGTGAGGTGATGATGATGACAATAGTGAGGTGATGATAATGGTGAAAATGATGGTGATGCTAATGATGATGATGATGGTGGTGATGATGATGATAATAATGATGATGGTGGTGGTGATGGTTGGTTTTGATAGTCATTATGCTGGTGATGATGATGATGGTAATAAGTAACGGTGGTGATGGTAATGAATAAACCAATACAGTACCTCAACTCCAGATAACTTTCTTTTAAAGCGAGACCAAAAAATTTGTTGTGCCCAACCTTTTCAGCATAAATGATGATTCCATTGCCACTGTCAGGACGTACTGTGAGTCTTATGCTAACGGAGGCGTTGCCTTTTAAAATGGCCGGAGTGGCGAATCTCATGTAAGAATTGCCAGAAAATGATACGACTAAAAAGGTTGAAGATATGTTTTGTGCTTTATGTTTTATTGAAATTCCCATTACTAATCATGAGCAAAACATAATGGAAATCATGACCAAGAGACAGATTGTATATCTGGTACAAAATCCTACTGATTTTGAACCTTCAAACGTCCTTACTTTAATTTTCTAAACTAAACTCATTCATCAGATTTATGTTGTTAACACTGATGAGGAATACGAACGTTTTCTTCAAGACGAATCCGGTTATCCGGCACAAGCAACATACAGAATTCACGTTCATGTTGTATAAAATCTGCAACCATTCACCTTTGGCTCGTGTTTGTAGTATCTTTTACAATATGGCCTTTCATATTTTGTATATCACAACCCCGGTTGTAAAATGTACCAGAGATTGTAGTAAAATATACTTGGCAAAATTGTCCTAATTTGAATTATACATGAAATGTACTTACCAGTGTGATTTTTTAAAAGCCCCTCGCCAGGTTTAACGGTAGCAGAAGAAGTTTCTGCAAAATACAGACATTATAATGATCATAACCGTAATAAACGACATGTCAAACGAGATAAACCGATTCATGATGAAATTATCATCCTATCATGCACCCACCTGCTACCCATCGCAAATATATTACCTTCACAGTTGTCTGAAGTAGTACACAAGCATTTGTAGCTTCCAGGAGCATTTACGCAAGTCTGATTCCCTTTACAGACCATTTTGTTTTCACCACGACATTCATCCACATCTGAAACAGAGGTTAAAAAGCTGAAAATATTAACAAGAGAGAAATGTTACTATATACATGAATATAGATAGCCAATAAACGGTTATTCTTAAGTATACCAAAAAATGTCAATATTGGCCATATACATAACGAAATATTTGAGTGAATGGAAAATGGAAAATGGAAAATCAGGAAAATGGTTTATATCATACCATTACACCAATACATTTCTTCCCTGTATCCTTTGCGACACGAGCATGAGTAACTCCCAGGGAAATTGTGACATTGCATGTTTTCACCACAAAGTAATTGGGCACACTCGTCCACGTCTGCAAAGAGACAGATGCATTGAAAAGAACAACCAATTGTACGTGTCCTAAGGGATTGCTTTATAGCACTGTCGTCAAGCAGATGGTGATTGATCGACAGTTATCAGAGTAAGAATTAAATGTTAATTCGTTCCAGAGCAGTCTTGCATTTGGGATCAAATAAATGTATACAGTGCTACAGCAGTGGCTACAGAACCTCATTTCCGTGTTTGAGACATTTGTTTTAGAGCCCTTAATTCCACTGATGACATAATCATAAACAGATCTGTCATATTATTCGGATTGTATTGTTTCGGCATAACTGTATGGTTTCGTAAATATGTTACTTGTAACAAGACAAATGGTTGCCTACTTTTGTAACAAGACGATCGAAGGGCTGCACATATCAAAGCCTTGCTCACTTTCGAGGCATATCCCCATTGCCGAGCTGAAGGACTAGACGTTGTAGCTTTGCCGGACTCGTCCCCAGTAGCTCATGACTTCAATTTTTCCGAAGCACTTTGAGGAAGTGTAAAAGAGTAAGGGTATAGTTGCATGTTCTAGATTACTTTAATCATAGCCTATCGAAGGGAAGATGGCTGTGAAACTCATTAGAATAACAATATAACTCATTATCTATGTTGGTCAACGTTTATTCATAAATCTGGTCCTTCACCGTCACGTGTGTATTGTATTCTTGCTCATGCAACTAACCAATAGCAATGTTTTAGGAAAGTCACGTATCCGTGACTCGAACAATAGGGAAACTGGAAATTGCTATTGGTGGATTTGGTAAAAATACAATACACACGTGACGGTGAAACTGGTCGATTTATGAATAAACGTTGACTAACATAGATAATGAGTTATATTGTTATTCTAATGAGTTTCACAGTCATCTTCCCTTCGATAGGCTATATGCTTTAATTTACTGTGTTCTTCAAATCCAGTTTTTTTTAAATAATTGTAAATCAGTCCCGATTAGGCAGTTTTAACTCTTGTAAATGTACCGTCCAACTCGTCCACATTGGTTACAACATTATAATTCGTAATTTTTAACATGAAAATGTTGTCAATAACACATCTTATCCTTTGCTTAATACCCTAAGTAGTGGCTACGGTGTGAAATTTATAACAAACAGAGAAAATTTGCGAAATTTAAGCATTTTCTTTTACCTTTGCATTTCCCTTCTACGTTCTTATAGCCGTGTGGGCATGCGCAGTGGTAACTTCCAATTGTATTTAAACATTTCAGTTTTGAGGTACATCCAAGCACAGACTTACTTAACGTCTGGCATTCGTCAATATCTAGAAATACGATAAAAATATCTCGCCTCAGTCGAATGCATAAAGTGTTTGTCTGGATATTTCGCTTCAGTCCTTAGTACTGGCCCAATGGTACCATTACAGAAGCTTCAGGGAAAACAGTTCAGAACTGATATAGGTTATCCAGTATAAACACAGTTTATAGTTTTCTCCTAGTTGTAATACTGAATTTCTAAGAAGAGTATGCAATTTTATTAGAACTGAGAGGCTAGAGCCATTGCATAAGTTTTTAGAAGTATAAAGTTCTACTAAAATAGTTTTTTAAAAAGTTTTACTAAAATAGAGTTTAGGGCTTTTGGATTGTCTATGATTTTACTGAATCACCAGGAATTCAGTACATGCTGGATCTCAAGGAATTTTACAGGATCTCAAAAAATTTTACTCGATCTCAAGAACTGATAGAGTTTATTTAGTTGTACATGCTGGTCAGTGTCACAAAACAAGCCAATGGTCAAATGGCAGATTTTATTATAGATATCGATTAATCATTTCAATTTCATTTTTATGAACTAAGAAACGGTTTGTGCCACCCAGTGTATAGGTAACGACGATAACAAGACAAACAAGACGGATTGAGAGAGATAAACTGCCTGAAAAACATAAGCAGAACCAAACTTGGACGTTTCGAGCGAAGGCCCTTCAATGGGATCGAGTTCTGCTTACATTGTTCAAGTAATTATAGCTTTCTCAATACGCAGCAGTCAAACTAAGAACCAGTACGTACCATCACAAGTTTTTGTATGCTTTTTGTATTCGTATCCTCTAATACATTCACATTCGGACTTGTCGGCGTTCAGTTTCCTCACACACACAGAATTCTCTGGACATGGTCGGTTGTTTTTCGCGCAGTCGTCCTCAACTATATCAACAATAATTTGTAATAGTAGTATAGCAGTATCAATGGCAATATTCATTTATTTAATGTCGCTATGCGGGTGTGCTTTCCTGGCAAATGGGCACCTAGTCAAAAACTAACGCGTAAGAGTACTGAGTGAGCTTTGTATATAGAAAAAGTGGAGACAAGATGGCGGAAATTGATGTCCAATAGCTATGAAGGTCTTAAACAGGTTTAATACTATTTCCCCCCAGCTAATGCCAGTGTTTTCTAATGGATCATATCGCAAGTTGTCAGTTCATAATTTCGAGAGATTTCGGAACACTCATTGTCTGCTTTGTGTTAACCGCGCAGACAAAACCATAGAAAGAGACTGGAACTGACGTCCTCGATTTCCGCCATCTTGGCCTCAGTTTTTGGACTGAATTCTCACTCCAGATATTTATCCAGCTCCGTCAAGAATCAGAAGACTCCCTTGAAGAACAACAGAGAGCCAAACTATACATACATATATGAGTTTTCAATTACATGCAGGGAAGTCATCGAATCCAAGTCAAAACCCTACCCTAGATCTACAGCGCTTAATTCAGCGGGAAGGGCTAGTTAACTGCATCAGCCACGCGTGGTGACAGAGTGAAGAACAGTTATATAATAATCTTTTATATTACCCTCTTCAGTATTTTCGTCAGAGCCTGAGGTCTGTTCAGAATTGGAATCTACAAGAAAATATAATTTCATCAAATCTACATCAATTTCTAATGGTCATGCAACATTGAATAATAATTATTCTAAGACCACTCGTCCAAATTGTTGTGACGATTCAAATCATGCTGCTCATAAAACAAGACAGTGCATTTAAGTTGATCACTTAATTACTGATAAAACGACAATTAAATAAGTACCGAATTAAATATTCCTATATTAAATAAAACAGTCAAGACAGAGTTTGGTTGACCATTTCCCGTCTTCAGCGTCGTGTTCCCAAACGAATCACACAAAATGTTTCGTTCTCCAGTCAGCTTAACCGACTATTTCTGCCTCGCTGGCTCTCTTGTTTTCTTTCTTAACATTTCTTAACAGAGGTTGTCTTTAATAGTTTAAGCTTTTCTTAGCACGGTGGCTTTTACTACAGTTTTTAATTCGTGTAAACGTACAACATATTTATTAATTAACTAGTCCAGGAGCCTTACTTCAAATATGACTGGCCATGGCCATTAGCCTCTCTTCACTCATATCTCCTTTGTGTACTGCTTTAAATTTACACACATTACCATAATTACCAACACTACAGTATATAAATAATGATCCTAATTACCATTCTCAATACCGCACTCTCAGATTTAAGTCCTTTGAAATTAATTTTATCAAAAACGTGCCTAAGGCTCGGAAGATTATGAGAAGCATACCTTTAACGCATTCCTTTCCAGTGCTTTTGTGGTAGCCAACCTTACAACGACATTCGTAACTTTCAGGCGTATCAATACAAACTGCATTTTTATCACAAATATCTTTCGATTCTAAGCATTCGTTCACGTCTATGTAATGGGAAGATGAAATGTTTTGAATGGTTATGCGAATGGGCACCAACTTGTCAATAACACTGTATTTGTACGCCGTTTGAATTGCTTCCTTCTTGTATCGCTCCACGTCTTTGCCGCCATGTTGGTGTTCCAATTCAAAATAATTTTAATTGGACTCTTTTATCTGAAACACCAACATGGCCGCCATGACGTTTGTTGAGTTGGTGCCTGGGGAATGAGTGCAAACGCTCTACAGGGTGTATCAAAATAAACGCAATTCATCTTTTGTGCTTAATTAATAACTTTCGAAATACTATTTGTAGTTAAACGCTTTTAGGCTTACTTCAAAGCCTGTTCTTTTCTCTTTCAAACAAACTATTATCCTTGTCTCCAATGCTAGTAATAATTGCACAGGAAAAGATTTAGT